CCTTGTGGGATGAGGTTTACCGGGGCTGCCGACAAAGGGCTTTGATGTCGACAGGGGGAACGTCCAGACTAGCGCGGGAGCTGACAAAAAGCTGATCAGCTGTTTGTCGGCTCAGCGCGGCAGCCATGTAAATGTAAATGAAGCCGCGATCATTTAAATCGCCGCTTCATTTGCCTTTGCCAAAAAAACAAATCTACATGCGTCTGCCAACAGAGGCATGTAGTTTAGACGTACCCTGAGTGAGTTCAGGGGATGCTTGCTGTGTCCGCATGACACGCACTCACGCTGCATGTGGTTGCATATGCACGGACTGCAGCACCATGTGCAGCCCTATCAGTCTAAGTGACACTCCCCCTCCACTCCCTGTGCACCCGCCTCCTCCACTCCGTGTGTGTGTGTGTGTGACAACTCACCTGAAGATCCCTCCCAGGCATCCAAGGAGACCTGAGAGATATCCTAGCTGGAGGTGACTGATTCCAAGGACAGGCTCAGTCCCTGACTCCTGCTTTTCCTCTGGCTGGGGCTGGCCCTGGTCCTCCGGCTCCTCCTTGGCAGCAACCTCCAGGTGGGTAACAACTAGGGTCTCCAGCCTTGAGTCTACTGTGAAGCATGGAGAAGATGTTTCCCCACCCCACAGGATGTGGTGTTGCTCAGCATAGTAGGAGCAGGTGTAGGGTCCTGCCCCTGAGAGCGTGCAGTGTTTGGTGGCCCTCACATACCCCAGATGGAGCTCCTTCACCTTGCTCTGGTCCTGCTCCATGGTCCAGGCAGGGTGACCTCGCTTCGCCAGGGAGGCGGCCTTCTGAGAATAAATTTCGACATTCCACTGCTTGGCCTACGGATCTTGCAGGGACTCCTCCTTGCCCCACAACTCAAGGAGGGCCTCTAGCTCTGGTCCTGACCATGACAGGACACACCTTTTAGTCCCCCGGGGGGGGGGCTGGGACCCCTGGTGCTGCTTCCTGGAAGGGCCAGAGGAGTCTCGGGGGGCTTGTGGCACCCCCATGGGTGGCAATGCCAGGGAAACACAGAGCTGAATTGTTAGGCACCTACTCTCTGGCTGGCTTCCTGCCACAAGGCTTGTCCAGAGTGCCTGCAACTTTAAGAGGGCCAGCAGAAAGGGCACCTGTTTTTTTTCTTTTCCCTAGAGGCCATTTCTTGTGCAAAAACCCCTGTTCCCCATCCACACACATCTTTTTGTGCAAGAACTCTTGTGCAAAAAGGAGTTATTCCTTGTAGAAAAAGGAATAACTATTTCGCAACCCCCCCCCTCTCTTCTTTCAATTTTCTTGTGCAAAAACGTGTTTGAGCTGTATCCATTCAGAGTTTCACTCGGTAGCATCTTCTGGCTCTTTCAACACCTTGGAGGGGTAGTGGGTGATGTCTGGGGCTCTCTGCTTTGTGTCCCTGTCTGGTCCCCTCTTCTTAGCCTTTTGACCTTCACACCCAGCCCTGTTATTTCTTTGATTTGTCCCCTGGAAAAAAATACTTTTTATATCCCTCTGGGCTGACCTGTTAGGGTGTGTCTAAACTACATGCCTCTGTCGACGGACAGAGGGAAATGAAGCTGCAATTTAAATAATTAAATATTTAAATAATTGCGGCTTCATTTAAATTTAAATGGCTGCCCCGCTCTGCCGACAAACAGCGGATCAGCTGTTTGTCGGTAGAGCGGGGCAGTCTGGACGTGCCGCGGTCGATAAAGAAGACTTTGTCGATCAGCGCAGGTATGCCTCATGAAATCAGGTATGCCTCGTGAAACTGATCAGCTGTTTGTCGGCAGATCGGGGCAGCCATTTAAATTTAAATGAAGCCGCGATTAAAACGCGGCTCCATTTCCCTTTGCCGATCTGTCTAATCTACATGCCTCTGTCGACAGAGGCATGTAGTTTAGACGTACCCTTAGAGAATACATCTGAAGAAACCTAAAAGCAGAGAACTCTAAGGACAAAAGCAGCTGTAGACTCCATTCCAAAGAAAAATCCACTCTGTCTTGAAGCATTTTACCTGAAATAAGATCTTGGGCAGGGTTTCCCAACCTATGGGTCAGGACTCAAATATGGGTTGCCATTACATTTCAAAAGGGTCACCAAGTGTCTCCCCAGGTGGCTCTGTTCCCCCTTCCTCCTGTTTTTGAATTGCCTTGGGTCACCAAGTCTTCTTGAATTGTCAGAATGGGTCCCCATCCAGAAACGTTTGGGAACCACTGATATAGGGTGAGGAACAAACTTTGACAAATTTTTCTTAGTATATAAGGCTTTGTTGTTCATTTTAGCTTAGTAACTTGCTTTGATCTGACTGTTTTCACTTGCAACCAACTTGCTTTGATCTGTCTGTTTTCACTTGCAACCACTAAAATCCAATTTTTATGCTTAATAAAACACTTGTATATTATCAAACCCAGTGTAAATCCTTTTTACCTGGCTGGGGCGGGGAGCAGCAATCACTCTACCTATCTCTCTTTTTCACTGATACAGAGAGCAAGCCTTATGTGCTTTCTCCATGTAAAACTTTTATACAGAGTAAGATGGATTTATTTGGGGGTTTAGTCCTACTGGGGATGGTCTCCTGGGTGCTGGCAAGTCCCTATAGCTGAGCAGTTTCAGCATTTGTGCTGGGGGATGTTATCTCAACTCTGTGTCTTTGCTGGGGGAAACCAGAGCATATGGACCAACAGGACAGGTTGGTGGGGCACTCTAGAGAGCAAGCAGAGGGGCTCAGTGGTATGATGAGTACCCTGGGTGACAGCCACGAGAGGAGCCCTATGGCTGAATCTATAACTTCTGTGATCAATCTACAGCCAGGCCCTAGGGTTAAATGCAACACACCCAGCAGTAAGGCCAGACAGCACACAGGGGCACACTTTACAGGTCCACACCAGAGACACAGGCTAGAAATTTACTATTTATTTATTTTCTACCAAAGCTAAGATTCTCCCCAATCCCAAGACTCCAGGAATTGGGGCTTTAAGGAAACAGCAAATACCATGAGACTTGGCAATGCTGTATCTGGCAGCCCATTTCCTTCCTGCATCCCCAACACCCTCCTATAATTCCCAACAGCGTCTGAACGTTTCGTCTCCTTGTTCCACTAGGAGTTTTTGCAGCATCGTCCCTGCTCCCTGTGAGCCCATCCAGTCCTGCCCAGGGGAAGCTGGGGAGTGGGTGCAGCCCTCAGGGTGTTGCTCTGTGTCAGACCATCACACTCCACTCTAATACAAAGAGGGTCTGATCCTCTCAACGACTCCTGGCAGAAGCAGTGTGTGTGTGTGTCCACAATGGGAATGAGTCACTGTGAGACCCTCCCCCTTTGTATCCCCCAACCAGTGTGTGTGTAATTTCCTACATTGAACAGTCACATTAACACAGTTCCCTCCAATTAGCACATTCCAGTATCACACGGGATTGTTTCCAGCATTGTCGTGAATGGCCCTGGTGTCCATGAAGTTCAGGGAGGGAGGAAATTTCTGAGGTGATGCCATTTCCCCTCTTTCCTTTTGGCACAAGGTTCTCTCTCAGCTGCTGGAGTTTGAGTCTGTCTCTCTGGATTAATTTCCTGGCCCTTTGCCCCACCAGAGAGTTTAGCAGGGTGTGAGTGTGGGTTCAAACCTGGGCGTTCTGGTGTTTCTTTCCCTCCTTCTCTTTGGGGGTGTTTCCAGTGGCAGATGCTCTTGCTTTGTTTGATCCCCCTGTTGCCTCTTCGGGAGCAGCTTCATGGGAAGGAGCTTTTGGAAACTTCCTCTCACAGATGCCCTCTGCTGATTTCTTCCCCTGGTTTGTTTCCAGGGGCAGGGTGAGATGCAGGCACTGAGGCTGTTTCTCCAGTTCCTGGTGTCCCTGTGTCATTTTCTGCCCCTTCCCCATTCTTGGGGGCATGAGGCTGTGCAGGGCCTGTGGAATCTCCATGAACAACAGACCCACTAACTCCTAAAGTCTGGGGGAAATCCCAGTCGCTGGGGGGGCAGATGCTGAGGGGTTTCCCCTGCTCCTGTCCTATAGCATGGCCAGGGCTGAGGAATGGGAACCATCTCTCAGAACCTGTCTCAGGAATCTCCAGGATCAGGGCCATTGAATTGACACTGTAAAATGAGAGACTCCCCCTTTCTAGGTCCAGAAATACCCCAACCACTGTCGGCTTCACATCCCAGCTCTGGATCACAGTGTCGGCCTCGCTGGGGTGATACCGCCCTGCCAATTTGCCCAGAGCCCAGCACCCTTCCTTGGGGAACTCCTCCAGCCTCTGATGTGTCACTTTCTCCCTCACAGTCTTATTTAGCACCCCCAGCTCCCACTCCTGGCTGTCTCCCACCTCCACCTCCCAGTACCCCCGACAAGCCCCTGCCCCCTTATCATCAAACCCCTGACTCCCCACAGCAACTAGGGGCTCAGATGAGGCAGCTGGCCCTTGGAAAGCAGGTTTGTGCTGGACTGTTCTGCCATCTGGAGACAGGATGAGTTGGGCGTGTTTACAACTTTGAACCAGAGTGATGGGAACTGAGGAGAGAAATCAGAATAACCCATTAGTCCCGGTTCAGTCAGAGACCCCACAGGGGAAAGATTCCAGCCAGCACAGCTGGAGTGGTAGACAGAGTATTAAGGGTTGGGGTGGCTGGTGGGACTGGCCCTGCTCACCTGGATCTGGCTTTGGGCTCTGGGGAGCTGCAGGGCTGTGTCTGAGCCTGGTCCCTGAGCAGGGGGTGAGATGGGGGAGCTGGAGCAGGGGACTGGGCTCCTTGCTCCTCACACTCCCCCTGCCCAGTGTCTGACCCTGAGATGCATTAGGGATCCAGGGGCCCATGGAGGGGGCCAGAAGTGAGGACTCTGCAGGCTGTGGTGGGAGGACTGAGAGGATATCGCTAATCTCCTTACTTCTGAAAACAATTTCTTTTGTATATTGTTTTCTCTCAGTCACTGTCTCAAGTAAAAAAAATATGTAGCAAGAGTTTCAAAGAACATTTTGACAATGGAAAGAGAATAAGTTAAATGTGAAATGCAACAAAGTGATTGGTGAGAGGAAAACAATCTCCAAATATCATAGAATCATAGAACACTAGAACTAGAAGGGACCTCAAGAGGTCATCATGTCCAGTCCCCTGGCCTCACGGCAGGACCAAGCACCATCTATACCATCCCTGATAGATGTCTATCTAACCTGCTCTTAAATAACTCCAGAGATGGGGATTCCACAACCTCCCTGGGAAATTTATCCCAGGGTATGTCTACACTACCCCGCTAGTTCGAACTAGCGGGGTAGTGTAGACATACCCTGACAGAGTAGGGATGAGTCTTTGTTGAGAGGCCAATGGAAGATGGGGGGGAGCATGTCAGGACTAACTGAAGGGGTTTGTAAATGAGCTACCCTGGGATATGAGGCTTTCTGCTCAGGACAGCGAGTTCAAGGCCATTCACGGCATCCAGCCCCACAGCTCTGCAGCCAACCCCTGTCCTGCCCCACCTGCCTCTTGGGGACCCCACATCTCTGTCAGCCCTACTAAGTAGCCCTGATACTGCTACCCCTAGAGCAGTGTCTGCTCAGCTTCTCCCAGCCCCACTCACCCATGTAGCTCCTAGCCCGCCTGAAACCTGCAAAGGAAGAGAAACAAACATGGTCAGGGCAAACACGAGGAATTTGCTCTGACAGGAGCTGCTGCTCTGGGAGAGGGTCAGTGACAAACAGAAAGAAAACTAGTGCTGTGAAGTGTGACATGGAAACACGGCCTCTTACCTAGCTCTGCAATCTCCTTGGCTGAAATGGAAAGAGACGGAGTTAGTCCCTGTCAGTTAGGCAGAGGACTCAGTTCTGGGGGCTGCTCTGGGACCATGTGATCACTTCACATGAGATTCATGGGCCTCACTGCCGAAGAAGAAATCTCCTGTCTGTGTGTAGTGAGAGACAGGCACTTTCACCCCACACACGAGAGCTCTCTGTGAATAGCAATAACTAGCTCTCAGGGATGCCTTTATATTGTCTCTTAGGCTATGTCTACAGTGCACAGTTATTTTGGAATAAACTGTTCCCGAACAGTTATTCTGATTTAGCTTATTTTTACACTGCAGGAAAGCATCAAAGTTAGTCCAAGGCAGGCTCCCTAGGGTATGTCTAGACTATAGGCTTTTTGTTGACAGAGGCTTTGTCAACAGATACTGATACTGTCGAGAAAGCCTCTGTCAGCAAAGAGCATCTAGACTACAGCCAGTTCTGTCGACAAAGCAAGCCGCTTTCTTTTAAAAAAGCACAGTGTGGATGCAATAGTGCCTTTGTCCACAGAATTCTGTTGACAAAAGGCGTTATTCCTCGTAGAATGAGGTTTACTACCATTGACAGAATGTGGCGGTAGTGTAGACCCATGTATAGTTTTGTCAACAAAAGCCCATTTTTGTTGACAAAACCCCGTCGTCTAGACACAGGCTTTTGTCAACAGAAGTTTTGTCGACAAATTCTGTCAACAAATCTTCTGTAGACAAAGAGCATCTAGACTACATCCAGTTCTGTCAACAAAGCAAGCTGCTTTGTCGACATGACAGTGTAGGTGCAAAGGACAGTGTAGATGCAATAATGCCTTCTGTCAACAGAACTCTGTTGACCAAAGGCGTTATTCCTTGTAGAATGAAGTTTACCACTGTCGACAAAACTGCTGAGTTCTGTTGACGTTATGTCGACAGAACTCAGCGGTAGTGTAGATGCAGATATAGTTTTGTTGACAAAAGTCCACTTTTGTCGACAAATCCCTGTAGTCTAGACACACCCTGGCTGTGTCTACATTGGCACCCTTTTCTGGAAAAGGGATGCTAATGAGACGAGTTGGAATTGCAAGTAGGAATAAGAAATCCTCCGGAAAAGGGTTTATTTTCCAGAGAATCGCGTCTAGACTGGCGCTTTTCTCCGGCTTATCCCCAAGCCGGAAAAAAGCGGCAGCCATGTAAATGCAAATGCCGCGGGTGATATTTAAATCCCCCACGGATTTGCAATTCCGACTCGTCTCATTATCATCCCTTTTCCAGAAAGGGGTGTCAATGTAGACGTAGCCCCAGGGACTGGAGCAAATGTTGCTCTCATTGATGCTGCTGTAAATCTGCAATAACTCCAGGTGCTTCACTGAAGTGAATCTGGATTTACACTGGAGTCACCCAGAGTAGAATTGTGGCCTATGAGAAGCTGCTGTTTGGCTGTGGTGACCCCAGCTGTTTGGGAAGGGGGGAGATTTTTAAGGGACACTTGCAGGATCCAAATCCCAGTTGGGATTGGCAAAGCATCTAACCTTGATGGGAGATGTGGGTTTGGATCAAATCCAGCTCTGGCATCCTCAACACTGCTATATAAGAGGAATGACTCATAACCCTTTGGTGTCTCACAGCTACACACTGCGGGTGTCACTAGGGGAGAGTTGGACCCGGAGAGGCTTGGAGCTCAGATCTGGGATCTGGCCTTAGCAAAGAATATGGAGCCTCTGCCCAAGGGCTCTAATGGGGTGGGGAACAAACTTACCAAGTTTCTCTTGCAGGTCCTGGCACTCTGGGGAGAGAAGAGAAGGAGCCATTATGGGTTCTAAGTGGGTCGTTACAAGCACAGTGACATGGGGCCCTGCAAACTCTGGGTGCAGCTGCACTGCAAGTGGAGTGATTGTCCCAATTTGGGCACAGACCAGTATCAGGTCTGCTCCAGATGGTGCACTGACAACAGAAGGGCAGTTGGGTTCCAAATGCAGGGCTTTAGGCTGGTAGCTGAAGGTCAAACGAACTGACACTCCCAGGTGAGGTGCAAGGGTGGCTGCCCAGCCCTGTTTCCTCTCCTACTGTTGCATGGCTGTTGTTAGGGCTCTGACTCCAGTAGGGCTAGTGTGTATCTGGCAACACCAGCTGGGAAGCTCCGACCAACTGCAGGACATACTCAGTGAGCCAAGGGATTTAGAACTGATAGCACAGGTCAGGTTGTTAATGAACAACAGACAAAATCCCAAATCAGCCCCTAAACAGAGCCCACAAATTTCCCCAAGGAACAGCAATCTGAGGTGACGGCCCTGCTGGGAATGAGGGCAGGAAGCATCACTCCAGAACATGTATCACACAGACAGAGGCCTGCCCTGCTGGAGCCTGTCACCCAGCCTGAGGCCTCCTATTTCTATGCTGTGCAGTCCCTGTGTGGTGCTGCATTGCAAAGCAAGAAGCTGTAGGGTCAGTGGCCGGCAGGAGCTTAGCTGGGGAAGGGCTCTGTGGGTCTGGGTGACACTGAATGTACTGACCACCCCTAAACACAAGGGATTGGGTCCCCTCCAGGCTCCTAGGGAAATAATGTGGGTGGCGGGGCCCATATAGAAGATAGTAGGGTTTGGAGGCTCTGCTCATTTGTAGACCAGACCTAGACACTCAGGGAAGGGGGAAGAGGACAGGACTGGATGCTGGGATGGCCAAGAGGTCAGAGTGAGGATTTAGAGACACTAGCAGTGCAGTAAGGACCTTAGGGCTGGGAGGGGGAGTGGGAGGAGGGAGGCACTATAGAGCTGCGAAAGAGCTGGGTGCAGGCAGGAAGCCCAGCAATGGGAGAGCAGGGATTTTGCACTTCAGAACTGAGCTGTGGGCAAACACCTGCAGGGAGGACATTTGCCCAGCCCCTGACTCAGGACCTGTCTACAAAGCCCCATAATTCAGGCTATCAGGGTGTGATTTGCAGCACATACCAGAATGCCACACAGTAACTGCCTCCAGTGGCTGCTGCTGGTGTGTACTAAACAGCACCTTGTTCACATGAATGAAGCCTTTTTCCTACAGGACATTAATGCAAGTGAGGGACATTGTAGTTTACACCCACAACATCCCCCATGGGGTTGTTACTTTGGTGTATATTGCTATGCACAGCCCGGTAATCTAACTGTTGGGCAGTGTAGGCCTACCCTGAGTCCTGTTATCCATTACATTCACTCTCCCTAGTTCAGGATAACAGTGAAATCTGAACTGCAAACTGGGCACTATTCGTTTATTCATAGAATTTGGGGAGATGGCCATGGAGATGAGTAAAATCCATACAATACAAGTAGTGATTTTTCTCTCTCTTTCTACAGCAGTGGTTCAAAAACTTTTCAGTATCACGCCACCTTTTTGATTTTTGAGAAACCCTTACACTCCCCCCAAAAAATAGCAGAAAAAAATGGAGCTGACCATGGCTGAAAAACAAAAAGAGCATCAAAACTTGAGAAAATTTTTTTTTCCTTTTAAGAACAGAGCAGGTATTGCCCTTTTAAGGTGTCCATTTTGAAATCTGCCCCAGCCAGCCCAAGCTGTGCATGTTCTGGTGGCTAAGCAGACTGGTGGACTGGCCTCTTTCTTGGGGGGAGGGATTGATGTGGGGAAGGGGGGAAGCTGGGTCACCTCACACCTCCCCCTAGAATTTCTTCATGCACCCCCCTCCCCGGGGGACATGCCCTCCAGTTTGGGAACCCGTGCTCTACAGCATGAAAGCCAGGTACCTGTTTTCAAGGGCTCTTTCTCAGCTTCTGAAATGGGGAAGAGAAAAGAGACGCACTGTTACAGGGCTACTAACAACGTATTTCGAAAATAAGGGACAGTTTTCTTAGTAGCCTCCCATCCCTCCTACCATATTATTGGTAGTAACAGGGTGCTGCTCTGTGACCATGCAATCTCTTTGCATGTGGCCAGGACATTTGCCAGGGATATTTCTTGCTGCTTTCAATCACACTCAGCATCTTCTCGATTTGTACAGTGAGAAAAAAATAAGGCCCATCCCTTCTAAGAAGTGTCTTTTGGAAATCCCTGGACACTCCACTGGATGGTGCTGTGCACTCCCTAACAACTGGGGCTAGTTAGAGACATCTCAGGGCTTCACTCCCAAACCCAGAACAGCAACTGGTAATTTGGTAGGAGCAGGGCTGCTGATTAGGTCGCCAACTTTCTAACATTTCAAAACAGGGCACTGCAGCTCCTGTCTGCTCACTCCCCACCCTCCTCCTGCTGCCATCATTTGCTTCCCACTCCTCTGGGGCTTACCTGCAGACTGCCTACCTGTCCAATCAGGACATGGTGGGTGGGACTGGGGGATGGTCCCCAGAGCATTTAATCACGGAGGATAAGCAAACCGATCTTGGTTCGGAACTCTCACTTAGAAACGCTGACAAGTTTATTCAGGGAGGCTTTTGATGCACTGACACTTGCTACTAGATGGTCATTTAGGCATCAGGGAGATAATTTGTTGAAAAGAGAATTTCTGTGTGTTTGAAGTACCCAGGAACACTCCTCTGTCCATTGCCCCCTCACTTCCTGTGTTACAGCTTGAGGCAGAATCCAGGGTAACAGTGACAGGGTGTTGGTGAAACCTTTAAAAATGTTCCCCCTTCATAATCCGCCTTTTTGATATAATTTTAAAATTAGATCTCATGTTTCAAGTCTTCAATTTCCCCATCCAGCCCTCCCTGGCCAGAGGAATGGTGTCTACTAGGGGACATGGCAGAGGGCAAAGGAGATGAAAGAGGGGGATCCTCAGGGCTCTCCCAGGATGTCCTTGCAGTGAGAACCATTCTAGAATGTTGTATCCATTCTCTCTTCTTGCTGTGCCCACGTTCTGAGGCTATCATAAGCACAAAACAATAAGCATGGAGTTTCCACTGCAAAGGACACATTTGCCAACTTGTTCTCAACAGGCTGTGTAAGAATGTGTGTGTGTGGGGGGGGAAGGAGTCACTAGGCAGAGACCTTGTGGATCCATCTCCTTCATCAAACTGAGAACACAAACAATACCAGACAGTCACAGAGCTCTCAGAGCAACCGACCTACCAAGTTGTGATAGAAATGTCTCTCTAGATCTTTTCTTCTTTGAGGCAATCTGCTTTGCTATGGAACAGAGAATCAGAAATTGCCATGAGACAGGGAAGGAAGGGGACACACTGAGCAATCTGCTAATACAGGTGAGGTTGGGAACCCCAGTGTTTTTGTTAGTTAGGTTTACAACCTAAAACCAACCCAAGGTCAATATCTAAACAGTAAAATGCTCCTGTGCCCCTTCCCAGGACCCTCTAGGATGAGCCAATAACACAGCCCCATTACCTGTATATTCATGGTATGCACAAACTCCAGCAGCGATGAGAACCAGAGCGAGCAATGCCCAGAATGCAGCCAACCAGGGAGACACCCGGGGGAAGACATCACCTGGCAAACAGAGAGCACAGGGTGTGAGGAGCACCGGACCCGTCTGAAGCTGGAGAATGGGGTTTGCCACTTGGTTTTACAGCTGAGTCCCAGTTCAGAGATACCCAGAAATTCCCAGAACTAAAAGGAAACTCCCTTCCGAGCATAGGCAGTGGGTAAAGTGGTTGCTTGGGGAGGCAACCCCCGTCTGTGGTCCCTCCCAGACTCTGACCCTGATCCACCTGGGTCCCACCCCACTCTGCCGAGGCCCTGCACTCTGCCTACTGTCTCCCTCTTCTCTTTCCTCTCCTCCCTGCTCACTCCTTGCAGCCAAATCCCTGAACTCAAATGTAGCAAATGACATTATTTGAAAATAACACTCTTCTAACATTTCTTTCTCAGGAAAATGGAGCATGTTTCCCACTGTATGGCAAACGGTGAAGACTGAAAATCACAGAAGAGCCTAATTAAAAAAATGGGGCTTTTTTGAAAGAAAGAAAAAAAAAAGGCAGTCTAGAAGGGATCTTTTGAAAATACAACCTTTTTTCGAAAGAGCCTTTAACCTCATTTTTTGAGGAATACAGGATCTTTTAAAACAGGGTTGTATTTTCAAAAGATCCCCTCTAGACTGCTGGGGGGGGGGGGGGAGGGGGTTCTTGAAAAAGCCCCGTTTTGAAAAAAATCAGCAGCCATCTTTATGCACATGAAGCATGGGATATTTAAATCCCAGCTTCATCTGCACTTTCAAAGTGCTTGATTTGCATCCCTCTGCTGACAGAGGGATATAGTCTGGACGTAGCCTATGTCTACACTACAAGGTTTTTGCACAAAAACGAATGTTTTTGCACATAAATGGGCAGAGCATCCACACCTCAAGTGCATTTTTGTGAAAAAAAACAAAACAAAACCAGTAAATCAACAGGACAGAGTTCTTTTGCTGGTACAGTTATTCTTCACGTGGAATAACTACTTTTTATGCTACAGCTTTTGCATGTGTGGATGCTCCACAGGGGTTTCATGTGCAAAAAGAGCCTATCTGAAAAAGCACAGGTGCTCTGACGACCATCAGAGCTTTCTTGCACAATAGCATCCGTGCAGTGTGGACACTCTCTTGCGCAAAAGCACATAGCTTTTGCAATGCACTTTTGAGGTGTGGACGTGCTTTTGTGCAAGAAGTTTTTGTGGAAGATCTCTTTCGCAAAAAGCTTCTTGTGCAAAAACCTGGCAGTGTAGACAAAGCTTTATATACCACAACCAAGGCAGCCTTTAACCTTTCCTTGAATAAATTATATAACCTGAGCTCCTACATTTCTGACTGTGAGGCAGGTTTCCAGATCTCTAATCCTCCCTGATCACTTTCCAGTCTATCAACATCCTGTTTGAAAGTGTGGACACCATGACTGGACACAGTATCCCGCAATGGTCTGGCTAGCACCACACAAAGAAGGTGATGTCCCCACCTTTCCACTGCCACATACTCTCATTTATATCTACAAAGGTTCCATCGCTCTGGTAGCTCACACTCACATCTTTTTCAGAGTGACCGTTTCTAGATTACAATCTACCATCCTGCAAGTGTGATGCTCTTTGTCCTTTATGCTCTTCGTTTATGCCTACATGATTTTGCATTTGGCCATGTAGAAATACCATAGACTAAATCCTGTGGATCCATGACAGCATGTTGTTTACGTGACCTCACCTTATCAAGCAAGCTAAGTCGGTCTGCAGTACTTGTATCATTAGTTATGTCTCCACCAATGTTTGGGTCACCTGCAAATTTTTAATTTCCTCTCAGCTCTTTGAGAACACTCTTGAATAACATTGGCCCAGAACAGATTGCTGTGGGACTCTGAACCTTTTTAGGACGATTCACATTGCAACTTTAAGAGCTATGTTAGTCAATTTTTAAGCCACGTAATGTGGGCTACATTGATTTTGTACAGTGCACATATTTTTATCAGAGTTTCATGTAAGAGTAAATGAAAGCTCTTACAGAGTTTGAGACCTGGTCTACACAACCAGGTTAGATTGGGTTACTTACATTACTCAGATCCATAAAAGAATTCCCATCCTCTATGATGTTTTTAAGCTGACCTAACCCCACATGTAGAAACCACTAGGTTAATGGAAAAATTATTTTGTCAATCTAGTTATCACCTCTTGGACAACTGGATTTCCTACAGCCCTGGAAGAGCCCTGTATGGTGCAGTAATAAGTTACATTACAGTGTTGCTGCTGTTGTGCTTCTAGTCTACGCAGACTCGGAATGTTTTACTTCAGCACAGTTACCTTTACCAACCAAATGCCATAAGTTCTGTGCTTTGTTAACAACAAACCTGGCTAAGCCACTTCATCCCTAACCAAGCCTGGTTTAAAAAAAATAAGGAAATTCTTCTTCACTCCACGCATAGTCAATCTGTGGAACTCCTTGCCATAGGATGCGGTGAAGGCTAGAACTTAAACAGGGTTCAAAAAAGAGCTAGATAGATTCATGGAAGTTAGGTCCATGGAAGTTAATGGCCATTAGCCAGGATGGGTAGGAATGGTGTCCCTAGCTTCTGTTTGTCATGGAAATGGCAGACAGGGGAGGGATCACATGAGGATTACCTGTTGCGATCCGTCCCTCCAGGGCATCTGGCATCGGCCACTGTCGGCAGATGGGATACTGCACTAAATGGACCTTTGGTCTGATTCAGTATGGCCGTTCTTATGTTCTTAAGCCTGTGATCTTGCTTATAAATAATATTGAAGTCTGCTGAATTCACATGCAGCTACAAGAGCATCCACGGAACTCCAAGAACAGCAACATTGGCAGCAGTAACTACTTAGTGGACTTAACAGCTCTGGACAGAACTAACAATCAATTCTGTTTAGGGGCAGAGAGGAAACTCACCGGAGAGGTGAATGGCCGATTGTCGCTCCATCTCCACGAGACTATTCTGCACGATGCAGCCAATGTCTCCAGGGTCTTCTCCTTCTGTGACAGTGACGTGACTCACAACACTGTACAGGTTCCCCATCTCCTTAGTCACGTTGGTCACAGACTCCATTGTCAGGTTCTGCCTATTCTTGCCAACCCACTGGAGTTTGGGTTTGGGAGACCAGCCTGTGGATCTACAAGCCAGTCCGATCCCCTGGCCCTGAGGACCCAGCACGTCAATGAACACCGGAGCCACAGCTGCAGAGAGAGACAGAGAATGTGCGTCAGGGAATCATGTCTTTGATAGACTCATGGGATTCACCACTGGCTATGTGGGGACTCTGCCTGGAAAGCTCCATTCCCTTGTGTGCAGCCTCCCTGGAATCCCTCATTCTGATGACTGGAGAAAAAAAATAAAACCAGCTTGTGTTTCCATGCAGTGAGGAATGTTCAGGCTTAAACTGCCCACAGAGATTGCTGCGCCTGCTGCTGAAATGCAGCCACTTCTGAAGTGGAGCCCAGCAACTGTCAGGATCACGTCAGTAAAAAGCAGGAGATGAGGGATGGTGACCCCAGCCACATCTCTGCTACCACTTGTCCTGTGCCACCCTCCTTTTGTGCTGAGAACGTAGCTCTACTTCTCATTTAAACGGGGATGTTAAATGCAGCAGTGACTTTGCCAGGGCCACAGCTGGACCAGCACTGAGCGTGAGGAGAGAGCGCCCCCTACTGAGTTTTGCATGTCAGTCCCTTCAGCACAGGGTTCTACTGCTGGGCTCAATATCTGGGCATTCAGAAGGGGACAGAAGGCTCCGTCTTCCCAGACACAGCACCCCTGGGAACATACTCAGGGCTCGATGTGAGAAGAGAAAAAGAGCCTGAAGTCGGAGACCTGGTGTGAGATCTGAGGCCTGAACAATTGTGTAATACATAGAATCACAGAATTGGAAGGGACCACAAAAGGTCATTGAATCCAGTCCCCTGCATCCCTGGCAGGGGGGGCCTGTGCATATAGGCCGACTTGGCAGTCACCTAGGGTGCCGCATTACGCCATTGACGTCACGCCATTGAGGGCTGTGGAGGCGGGGGTGCCAATCGCGCCTTCTGCCTGGGGCACCAGCTGCTGGCAGCTCTCCTTGAGCCGCTCCTGACCCCTGCCAGGTCCAAACACCATCTAGATCATCCCTGAGAAATATCTGTCTAACCCAAAAATCTCTAGTGATGGGGATTCCACAACCTCCCTGGGAAATTTATTCCACTGTTTACCACCCTGACAGTTGGGAAGTTTTTCCTAATGTCCAACCTAAACCTCCCTTGCTGCAGTTTAAGCCCCTTGCTTCTTGTTCTATCCAGAGGTTAAGGAGAATACTTGTTTCCCTTCTCCTTTTAAGGAACTTAAAGGCTATGTCTAGACTGGCATGATTTTCCGCAAATGCTTTCTGCGGAAAAGCGTCTGTGCCAATCTAGAGGCGCTTTTGCACAAAAAAGCCCTGATTGCCATTTTCACGATCGAGGCTTTTTTGTGCAAAACAAATCTGAGCTGTCTTCACTGGCCATTTTGCACAAAAGCTTTGCGCAAAAGGGACTTTTGCCTGAACGGGAGCAGCATAGTATTTCCGCAAGAAGCACTGATTTCAGACAGTAGGAAGTCAGTGTTCTTGCGGAAATTCAAGGGACAAGTCAGTGTTCTTGCGGAAATTCAAGCTGGCAAGTTTTTCCGCAAAAGCAGCTGCTTTTGTGGAAAAACTTGCCAGTCTAGATTCAGCCAAACTGTAATGTCCCTTCTCAGTCTTCTCTTTTCCAGACAAAAGATACCCATCTATATCAATTTTCCCTCATCGTAGGTCATGTTTTCTGCTGGACCTTTAATCATTTTTGTTGCTCTTCTCTGGACTTTTTCCACTTTGACCACATCTTTCCTGGATTGTGGTGCCCAGAACTGGACACAATGCTCCAGCTGAGGTCTAATCAGCGCAGAGTAGAGCAGAAGAATGACTTCTCGTGTCTTGCTTACAACACTCCTGTTAATGCCTCCCAGAATCATGAAACAAAAAAAAAGGACTAGGTAGCACTTTAAAGACTAACAAGATGGTTTATCAGGTGATGAGCTTTCGTGGGCCGGACCCACTTCCTCAGATCAAATTGTGGAAGAAAATTGGCCAAAGGATACAATCAAAAAAAGTAAACACATATGAAAAGGACAAATCAAATTTCAGAACAGAGGAGGGATGGGGGGGAGGTAAAGATATTAGAGGTGATAATTGGAGAAGTTATCTTTGTAATGGGTAAGATAATTAGTGTCTTTGTTGAGACCTAGGCGTAAAGTGTCAAATTTAAGCATGAATGACAGTTCAGAGGATTCTTTCAAGTCTGGTGTTAAAATCTCTTTGAAGCAGGATGCAGTTAAGTCCTTGAGACAATGCCCTTTCTGGTTGAAATGGCAAGAAACTATTTTTTCTTTGTGATCCTGTGTAATATCTGTTTTGTGTGCATTGATTCTTTGGCGAAGTGTCTGAGATGTTTGTCCAATGTACATAGCAGACAGACACTGTCGGCACATGATAGCATAAATTATATTTCTGGATGAGCAGGAATATGTGTTCTTGATCTTATAACTGAATTGGTTAGGTCCAATAATGGTATCAGCATAGTGAATATGTGGACAAAGCTGGCAATGGGGTTTGTTGCAAGGAGAAGTTCCAGGATTGGTATTAGTGTGGTATGTCCTGTGGTTGTTGGTAAGAATCATCTTGAGGTTAGGTGGTTGTCTATAGGAGACTATGGGTCTGTCTCCCAGAGCCTCTCGGAGTTTAGTATCCTGTTCCAATATAGGTTGTAGTTTATTGATAATGTGTTGGACGGGTTTAAGTTGGGGACTGTAGGTGATGACAAGTGGTGTTCTATTGTTGGTTTTCCTGAGTCTGTCTTGAAATAGATGATTTCTGGTTATTCGTTTGGCTCTTTCAATTTGTTTTTTTATTTCTCCGGGTGGGTAGTTGAGGTTTATAAATGCTTGGTAGAGATCCTGAAGTTTCTGGTCTCAGTCAGTGGGATTAGAGCAGATGCGGTTGTATCGAAGGGCTTGGCTATAGATGATGGATCGTATGGTGTGTTCTGGATGGGAGCTGGAGGCATGTAGGTAACTGTATGAGTCAGTGGGTTTTCTGTAGAGAGTGGTGTCTAATTTACCATTGGTGATTTGTACGGCTGTATCCAGGAAATGGATCTCTCATGTAGAATGGTCCAGGCTGAGATTGATGGTGGGGTGTAGGTTGTTAAAATTTCTGTCGAATGTCTCCAGTGTTTCTTGGCCATGGGTCCAGATCATAAAGATGTCATCGATGTAGCGTAAGTAGAGAAGGGGTAAGAGGGGATGGGATCTGAGGAAACGGTGTTCTAAGTCAGCCATAAAGAAGTTAGTGTGTACCCATGGCTGTGCTGCTGATCTGGAGGTATAAGTTGTCCTCAAACTGGAAATAATTGTGGGTGAGAACAAAGTTACATAGGTCTGCAGTCAGACTGGCAGTGGTGTCCTCTGGGATAATGTTTCTAATTACTTGTAATCTGTCTTCATGTGGGATGTTGGTGTATAGAGCTTCTACATCCATGGTGGCAAGGATGGTGTTATTGGGGAGGTTACAGATGTTTTGTAGTTTTCTTAGGAAGTCAGTAGTATCTCGGAGATAGCTGGGAGTGTTGCTTGCATAAGGTTCGAGAAGAGAGTCTACATAGCTGGATAATCCAGTAGTGAGCGTGCTGATACCTGAGATGATGGAACATCTGGGGTGTCCAGGTTCATGGATTTTGGGAAGCAGATAAAACAATCCTGGTCGGGGTTCAGAAGGTGTTTCTGTGTGGATTTGGTCCCAAGTAGACGTAGAGAGGTCTTTAAGGAGACAGTGTAGTTTCTTTTGGTATTCCGATGTGGGATCAGAGGAGAGAGGTTTGTAAAATGTGGTGTTGGACAGTTGTCTGGTTGCCTCCTGGTTATAGTTGGCCTTATTCATAATGACCACAGCACCCCCTTTGTCAGCTGGTTTGATTATAATGTCCGGGTTGTTTTTGAGCAATGCTCCTTCCTAGGGAGTCATTTCCCATGTTGCATGTGTGAACATGCCAGAAGGCTAGTGCAGATACACCCCAACCTAATACAAAATGAGATGGCAGATGTCTCCACAGAGCAATGAATAGGGATGTTGTATGTAAAGTGTCAGGAATGGGGAAAGTAACGGATGCCATGTAAGGTAGCATGTAAGCTGTTCATGCCATGTGTATGTTTCAGTCTATAAATGGTGGGTATTTCACTATTACCCTTTGAATGGCCTAGAGACCAGCAGAGTCTTCTACTGTTCACTCCTTGCCATTGGCCGCTCATGTGCAAGTACCTGTAACTGTGGAGCCAGGGTGCTAGGATTGTGCCTTGAGGGGAATAGCCTTGGCAGTGTGTCTGTTACTGAACAAGGCCTGTGATCATTCTTAATGAATAACACTGAGGTCTGCTGAATTAACCCGCTGCACTACCTGCTAGTAATGATAACATGGGAGCTCCAAGAACACACTGACTGGAACAGCTCCAGCAACCTGTCCAGCATTTCTGAAGCAACAAAATTCCATCTTCCTCCACCACCACCCCTCCCCACCCACTCAGTACCATGTCTCACCTGCCACCTGTAGGTCAGTGGCAGATTCCAGGGTCCACTCTGGGTTCCTCACTAAGCACCGGTATTTTCCATCATCTGACATTTGGATTCGTTTCAGCTTCAGGGAGACGTTCCCTCTGCTGATCTCCTGCAGGAACATCTCCGTCCTGTTCTGGTAATCCTTCCCTGGCAGGTTACGGGTACCCTCATTCATGTATTCATGCACCAATATAAATCCTCGTCCAATTTTCCTCCACTGCACGTCCATGCTGGGCAGCTGTGATGGGGGTGAGAGCTGGCAAGGTAACACCACATCCTGGCCAACTACCCCCAACACTGGGTGCAGAAATTCATCGAGGACAACCTCCCCCCCCGGGGGGGGGGGGGGCAGATCAGAGTGAGAGGAAAGAAAGATGGAAATTGCTGAGTGAAATAAAATCCCCTCATTGTGTGCAGCTTATAGTGGAAGGTTCCTGAGACACAGAAATGTGTAGCTCATTTGAGTTAGTGTGTGATTGCAGGGCAGTGAGGTCACACTACTGCTGACACTAGCTAGTTCTCCAATGCTAAGCTGCAATGCCCAGAAATCTCTCCAAAGTTGCCTGTCTTGCAAACTACCTGCACTGTATTGGCAAAAGATGGCCTCCACTGGAAAACCTCTGCCAGTTCACAGAGCCCTGCACAGCCCCAAGGCACCCGATTACAAGTTCTTTCCATAGCAAGCTACTTTTTTGATTAATTGGTTTCAGATCCATGTAGCCCGGCCATCGCTGCTGGGAGGCCACCTCAGAGAGTTGCAGCCTGGCCTGGACTTTGAGGGATCTTTGGGACAGTGAATGTCTCTTCCATGGACTCAACACCCCAAACAGGGAGTGACTCAGATGGGGAGTCACTGCTCTTGTGATCAGTGTCATGTCTGGAGGGAATTAAATATCTGAAGGGAGCTTATGTCTCTAACTTTAGTTGTCTCCATGGTCTTTGGTTAAACCCTAGGTCATGTAGAACAATTACTGCCCAGCTGCAGCACCTGACAGTCACTATGTGGTTACAGGGGAGGAGGGATAAAGGTGGGATTTTCAAAGCCACCATTTTAATAAGTCCCAACTCCTAGAGACACGTAATTCTGAGACTCTCAGCTTTCTTTTTTTTCATAAGCCAGTATCTAGGGAGAAGCTTAAAAATGTGACCTATGACCAAAGGCTCAAAAAACAAACAAAAAATCAAAAAACAAAAACCAAGCTGCTTTGTCGACAGGGTAGCGTAGGCGCAAAGGACAGTTTACATGCAATAACACCTTCTGTCGACAGAAACTCTGTCGACAGAAGGTGTTATGCCTCGTAAAATGAGGTTTACCAACGTCGACAAAACTGCTGAGTTCTGTCGACGTTATGTCGACAGAACTCAGCGGTAGTGTGGACGCTGGTATAGTTTTGTCGACAAAAGTCCACTTTTGTCGACAAAACTCTGTAGTCTAGACACACCCTCAGAGTGCCCAGGGATGTGTGAATTTCCCAGGCTACTGGGTGGGAGCTGACGGAGAATTATAATTTGAGGGTTTGGATGGGGGCTCAAACCCCCTACCAAATCAATTTCAGACACCCTTCTTAAGCAACCAGCTTTATTCAGGAATGCATTCCAGGGCGTAAATTTCCAGGATACTCTCAGGAAAAGTTTCTGCAACTTCCCAAACAAAAGGCAATGTCTTTTGTACTATCTTACATGGTAATTACCTTTTCCCCACTGACCACTTACAATTGCATGCATACACAGGCTATGCCCCTTTGCACCAAATTCCCTTCAATTATTATCTGTCCCCTCTCAGTCCCTTTGCAGGCCTTACAAGAGGTTCAAACCAGTTTCACCTATCCCTTTTTGGTTGTATACCTGTTTTCAAGCATGTACCCTTTTACAAAAACCAGACAACATCCAGGTCACACAAATGTCATACTGACAACAAATTAAGTTTATCCTTCAGGGCTCAAGCATGTTCTGTGTGAGATGGATGAAAAGGGATCCCTAGATATCGAACCCAGGCCCTGGCTGCTGCTGGCATTACCTGGCAGAAGGGTTACACTAGTAAGTATATGGAACATAAGAACAGTCAGATTGGGTCAGACCAAAGGTCCATCTAGCCCTATCCTGTCTGCCGACAGTGGCCAAAGCCAAGTACCCTAAATGAATGAATAGATCATATAATCATCAAATGATTCCTCTCTGTCATTGATTCCCAGCTTCTGATAAACAGAGGCTAGGGACACTATTCCTGCCCATCCTGGCTAATAGCTATCTATGGACTCACCCTCCATTAATTTTTCTTTTTTAACCCTTGTTATAGTCTTGGCCTTCAAAACATCCTCTGGCAAGGAGTTCCACAGGCTAGTTATGCATTGTGTGAAGAAGTATTTCCTTTTGTTTGTTTTAAACCTGCTGCCTTTTAATTTCATTTGGGGACCCCTAGTTCTTGTTTTATGGGATGCAATAAATTACATTTCTTTATTCCCTTTCTCCATACCTGTCATGATTTTATAGACCTCTATCGTATCTCCCTTTAGCAATCTGTTTTCCAAGATGAAAACTTCTAATTTTATTAATTGTATTAATCTCTCCTCATATGACTGCAGTTGTCTACTCCTAATCATTTTTGTTGCCCTTTTTAAATTTTTTTCTAATGCCAAGATATAATTTTCAGACGAGGTTATCCACATGTGTGCACAGTATTCAATATGTAGGTGTACTATGGATTTATATAGAGGCATTAAGATATTTTCTGTCTCATTTTCTATCCCTGTCTTAGGGTACGTCTAGACTACAGGCTTTTGTCGAGAGAGGCTTTGTCAACAGATAGGGTATGTCTAAACTACATGGCTCCATCGATGGAGCCACGTAGATTAGTCTGATTGGCAAAGGGAAATGAAGCCGCGATTTAAATAATCGCGGCTTCGTTTAAATTTAAATGGCAGCCACGCTGAGCCGACAAACAGCTGATCAGCTGTTTGTCGGCTCAGTGCGGCAGCCATGTAAATTTAAATGAAGCTGCGATTATTTAA